CACACACACACACACACACTCACACACACACACACACACACACACACACAGATCGGCTCTGAAATGACTCCTTCTTTATATCCGCTGGTTTTAACCCTGTTTAGGTTTAATTTTTGCTTTTGTTTGTGTTTTAAGCGCACTGGCTCAGTGAGAAGCCGCTGCGGTAAGAGATGATGATGTTCATGTCTTGATTTGATGTATGTATCATATGTGACGGGTGTTCAGCCTGAATGTGGAAACACACACACTTACACACACACACACACACAGACACACACACACACACACACACTCACACACACACACACACACACACACCTCACTCACACGCGCACACACACACACACACACACACGCACACACTCACTCACTCATGTTGCATGTGATCAAAGTCAACATGAAAGGAAAACTGACTCTGTGTGTTTTTAATACATGTTTCTACTCTTATTGGGAATGAGATGCATAAGATTCATGTCATTCCAGAGAAAGAAAATGTTGTCCTAAAAACTAGTTTTTTATTAATGTTTATCTAGGTTGTGTGGTATGGAAGGTTATTTCTACTACAGAATAAACAAAAATAAGTTAATGCGAGCTGACAGTTTCTTTTTCTTGTGAGTTTATATGTTTAATATATCTTTAATATTTAAATGTTTAATTAACTCGTGGTTCCTCCTTTTTTGTCATAAATTAAATATTTCAGTATAATTTAAAGATATAAATATTACGTTTACAGTTGCAAGAAAAAAAAAGTCAGATTTGTGTGATAACCTTTTTTATTTTTTCTATTCCGTAGCAGAAACAAAAAGTCAGAATTGGTTGATATAAGCTCGCAATACTGAGGAAAAAAATGGTAAGAATTGTAAGATAAAAGGTCGCAATTACCTTTGTAATTTTTTTTATTTGTTGCGGAAATAGAAAGTAGAAAGAGTACTTTTATTTACTACTTAGAAACAAATATTTTTTACAGCCTGTGTGGTTTGTTTTAGATTTCTGATTTAGGTGATGCATTTTTTTTAATAGTTACTTATTAATTTAATGCTGGTTAATGTGATAAAAGTCACAGCAATAATATCAAATAATAATGCATGTGAAACTAGCCCTGGTCAAAAATTCCCCACAATGCATTGCAATCTAAACATGGATAAAAACAAGTCTCGCTCTACATTTTTGTTGGATGTTGTTGTATATCCTCTTGCATTCTAAAGTGCATGAGGTTATGGAACAAAACCGGATTTCAAATGCAATTTCATGTTGACTTTAAACCTGGATTACACAAACACCTTCTCTCCATTCTGTGTGTGTATTTACATATTTTGTATGTGAAGTATCATAATTCATGCATAATGTGGAAATATGAAAAATCAGTTTTAACAAGTCAGACAGCATAAAGAAGTTTTGGTAGCACTTTACTTAAAGCCTTTATGTATAATGCATTATAAATATATTCATAGTGCGCATTCGTAATGCATTATATTTTAAGTATTATAATGTATTATAACTGGTTATAGTTATTCATGAGATCATATAATGCATTATTAGGTGCATTACAAGGCATAATTAATGCATTAAAACTACTTTTATAATGCATTATACATAAAAGCCCTAAGTAAAGTGTGCGTGTGCATGATCACATGCATGCAAATGTGTGCAGGTTTGCTGATGTGTGTGATGATGCTTATGCTCGAAATGCTTTGAAGCGTTTTAAATGTCATCTACAGATTTTTTCTTGTTTTTTTGGTTTTTCATTGGTGCACAACAGTGCAGCTCATTGAACACAGCACAGCACGGCTCTGATTCACGTCTGCTGTGACTGAGGTCCATTGAGCGCAGCACTAATCTAGAACAACTGATCTGTGAATGAACTACGGGAGAGCGAGGCCGAGGATGCATCGGTTTATGTTTAAACTGCAGTCAGGATGCTTTTACTGCCCTTTTAAAGCTGAAGTGTGTCGAAATGCAACCTGTGTGAGTGGTCTTTTTGTCTGACCAATGACATTTTCTGGTCAAATTGACAGCATAATCGTAATAGAAATTTTGTACGCACATTCCACAATGCCTGTTATGTGAGTGTCAAAACTTTGTCTGCATGTTTGTGACTCTAAATGGAAAAAAAAAGACATAATTCTAAGAAAAAACATCCTAGGTTAAAGGAATAGTTCACCCAAAAATGAAAATGTGCTGAAAATGTCCCCACTTTCAGGTCATCTGAGATCAGGATGAGTTTGTTTCTTCATCAGATTTGGAGAAATGCAGCATTGCATCAGTGTCTCAGCAATGGATGCTCTGCAGTGAATGGGTGCCGTCAGAATGAGAGTCCAAACAGCTGATAAAAACATCACAATAATCCACAAGTAATCCACAGCACTCCAGTCCATCAGTTAACATCTGGAGAAGACAAAAGCTGAAACACATCCAGCATTAAGATGTTTTTAACTAAAATACATAGAGTCTATTATCCATAATAACGCTTCCTCCAGTGAAAAAGTGTTCTGGTCTTTGTCTCTCACATCAAAATCCAGCCACATATTAGTTTAGAGCTGTTTAAACACTGCTTGATCTGTGCAGATTTCTCTCCTGATTCACACCAGAACACTTTTTCACTGGAGGAAGCAACATTATGGATAAAGGACTTGTATTTAGGCCATGGATGCAACAGTTTGAAGTTAAACACACCTAAATGATGGATTTGTTTCTTACAAACACGCAGCTTTTGGCTTCTCAAGACATTAACTGATGGACTGGAGTGGTGTGGATTACTTGTGGATTATTGCAAAGACTACAGAATACCCAAGACGTGTCACTCGTATAGTTTTGAATGGGGAAAA